GGGCAGTCCAGCCAGCACAGCATGAAACACAGTCCCAGGCCACCCGGAGGACAGGAAGCAGTTGTGCTTCCCTTCAACACTTACCTCTGCCTGAGTGTCAACCCTCAGCCACACCATCCCCGCTGTGCCCACACATCGGTCTCATTTGCTTCTCCTTCTCTGTCTGCCTGCATCTCAGGTTACTGTTCAGCCCTGAGTTACCTCTGCTACTAGAGGGTCTGTATCCTTTCCAGGTCAGAATGACTGTGGTAACCCTGACCCCAGGAGCTGACATCTGTGGGTGTGCCTGCTTCAGCCCATTCAAAGTCAATCAGAAATCACAAGGGCCAACCAGAGAGATATGTTGCAGATTTAAGGCAGCAAAAGCCGATTAATTCCTGGGCTTGAGAATACTTTGGGGTTCAGCAGGTAAACCTGGCACTAAAACGGAGACATACCAGACCCAGCCTTGTGAGATCTAGAAAGAGGCTGGTGCATGCTATCATTCTGCCCTGGCTCTGTGCCCAAATGCAATCTCTTGGCTCCAGCAACAAGTTAGTCCCAGCAGTAGGTCAATTATAGAGCAAAGAACCTAGAAACCATTTTAGTCCAGACCTCTGCCCTCAGGCAGGATTTAGCTAATCCAATCTGAACAAGTGGGTATAACTTGTTAAAACCTGCCAGAATGGAGAGTCTTTAACTTCCAATAATAGTCTGTTCCCAGGGCTGCTTTTCAGCTGGTACACACCAGTACAGCTGTACCAGTTATTAAAATTCAGAAATACTTTTTTTTTTAAATTTTTTTAACATTTATTCATTATTGAGAGACAGAGAGAGACAGAGCATAAGCATGGGACGGGCAGAGAGAGGGGGAGACATGGAATCCGAAGCAGGCTCCAGGCTCCGAGCTATCAGCACAGACCCCGACGCGGGGCTCACACCCACGAGCAGTGAGATCATGACCTGAGCTGACGTCGGACACCCAACCCACTGAGCCACCCAGGTGCCCCAAAATTCAGAAATACTTATGAACATGTTGGTATACAGTGAGTGCCCCAAGCCCTCTGAATGTCCCACTACCACCCTAACCTGTCCCCAGGAGAGCTTCGTGACTCAGCAGCTAAAGGGTTAATGCCAGCCACAGCAAGGGACCTTCAGTACCCTGTTTGTTCACGCATCATCCATACTAAAGTATCATAACACTGTTTTACCCTTGCCGGTTCCATCCTATAATGCTACCTACCCTATTCTAAAACTTTCAACTGCTTTTTCGTATCTACTGAAAAAATACCAGTCTTTGAGGTTGTTATTCAAAGTCTTTCATAATATAGCACCATCCTATATTCTCCCTCCTACTCTCTGCTTCATCAAACCCAGATGCTCAACATTCCCGAACATTAACTTTTCCTTGGTCTTTGTTTACCCTGCTTTCTGCCTGGAATGGCCTTCTCTTTCCATATCCATTAAAATCTTACCAACTCCTCAAGATCTCCTGCAATGCCACCACTTGCATGAAGTATTAGCTGAAAGCGCCACATCCCATTTCCAGAAGTGTCACAGCAACATCTAGATTCTATATTTGTAAAACTTAATGATTGTTTCATATTACGATTATTTTTATATATGCACCTGAACTCTCCCTAGAGAGACAGCTGTTGAGAGGGCAGAAACCATAATCTAGTCATCATTATATCTAAGCGACCTAGCACAATGCGTTGCTCGAGGTATGTGCTAAATAAATATTTGTTTAAATGAGTGAGTGAACAGCTCTAATTCTTTTGTCCAAGGGACCCATTTTCTATCTGTTAAAGATTTGGGTTGTTTTCCTCTAAAGTTACTCCAATTGTGGTTGTATCTCTTTCTACATATGGAGCCCAAATTGCACATCATCCATATCTTAAACTACTGGGTTATTCCATGAAGATGAAGCAGGAAGCATGCTCCCCTGTCATTACTTTGCCACCCTGGAGTTTGTGACTGCCATTTCTCCATACACTTCTTCCAGCATCAGATCAATGTACCCGTCACACAGGGACAGGCAAATGAAAGGTTCTTGGTAAAGGAGGCTGGCCTTAACAGATGACAGGAAGGCTGATGGTAGAGTGAGCTGGCAGGGACTGCTAGAGAAAGGAGGCAGGGTGGCTTGTTGGGAAGCAGAGCCAAGATGGGACTCTGGTTGCTGTGGTCAAGGCCACGGATGCAGTCCTGGGAGGGAAGTTTTATTGGCCTGGTTGCTGTTGGTATGCCAGGGTGTAAAGGAGGGAATGCTAGCAAGACTTTCCCTACCTCTATTTTTAAATTCCTCCTCCCCTGCTCTCCCTCCAGGGGAAGAGTTCTGAGCTGGGAGTAAGACCTATAGGACAAGAGAGGACTTTGATGAAAGATGTCTGGGCTTCTTTAAAACAAAGAAGGATGGGAAACAAGGAGCCAGAAACCACAGCCACTGTTTAAATCTCATTCCAAAAGGAAATCCAGGAAAAAGTAGAATATAATGGGACAGCCCAGCATGAAAACACCCTGCACAGCAGATAGGTTTCGGGGTTCTAAGAGGCTGAGAAGAGGAAACAAATGACCCATCAGTACCCAGGCTTGGGCTCTCTTTAAAAATGATAGTTGGGGTGGTACCTGGTTGGCTCAGTCGGTTGAATGTCTGACTTCAGCTCAGGTCATGATCTCGTGGTGAGTTGGAGCCCCATATCGGGCTCACTGCTGTCAGACTGTCAGTGCAGAGCCCACTTCGGATCCTTTGTCCCCCTGTCTGTGCCCTTCCCCTGCTTGTGTGCTCCCAAAAATAAATAAATATATATATATTTTTAAATGATGGTTAGAGAAATAAAGACATTGCTGAATTGGAAGCTAGGAACATTTTTCTGGGGAAGGGTCAGTTTGGGAAAGGAAACAAAGATTAAGGAAACCCAGTTGGTGGGGGGGGTGCCTGGCTAGCTCAGTCTGTAGAGCACATGATTCTTGCTTTCAGGGTTGTGAGTTTGAGCCCCACACTGGGTGTAGAGCTTACTTAAAAATAAAATTTAAAAAAAAAAAAAAAGGAAACTCAGTCAGAGAGTTAAGATTCATCCAGAAGGGAAACCAAACAGACCCAAAGAATTGATAGCCAAGGATGAGAAAGACAACAGGAGTTAGAAATCAGGAGCCAGCATGTGAGATTACCATGATGGCAAACTAGTTCTGGTCTCCAAGGAGAAAGCACACTTGAGGTAAGGGAAAAGTGTATTGGGGGGTGGGAGGGAAGAAGGGACATCATTAACTTCAGGGTCACAAAGCAACTGCTTTCCTCTGTTTTTAATCTGTGCAGAGGATCCCCCTGGTTACCACATTAACAAAATGGTAGCCACATTGAGAAGGGGTGTCCCAAGGAGAGAAGGGAGATCCTTTCCCAGGGCCTCCCACCTGCACACACTACAACTGGGCATGCCCACTTGGGACTGAGTGGCCACAGTATAGAAGAGTAGGCTCACTCTGTGTTTCAGAGGAAAGAACAAGGCTCAGGGGAGGGAAGAACAAGCTATGGGAAAGCAAATTTTGGCCATCAGAAGAACTCTCCAATTTGGAGCTGTGGGGCTAAGGCTAAGCAGAGCTGTCTTCATGATGTGCTGAAGCACAAGGCTCAAGCAGGAAAGATCACACAATCTAAGCATCCAGACTCCAAGGGACTCTGGAGATCATTTAGTCCAACTTTCTCCTACCTGAGAAGCTGTCATTATCCCCATGATCCTCCAACTAGCTAGTGGCAGAACCAGGAACCCCAGTCTCTTAACTCACAGCCAGAATTACTTCAACAGAGAGGTTCTGCCGTAAATATATGTCTCTACCCTGAACCAGCTCAATTACTGACCTCAGTAATTCCCTCTCTTTGGCCACTGGAGGAGGCAAAGCACCACACCCAACTCTTGCAGAGCAGTTGACACAAGGACCTGTCCAAGCACCTTCTCACCGCAATGTCATCACCACACCTTCACAACTTCCTGAAAGTGGGAAGTGAAGGTATGGAAGACAATGTGCTAGAACTCCTCAGGCTTGGGCAGGGAACCGCCTCATCTGGGAGTTTCTCCACTCCTTTTTCCTGCCATTACTGTCCTTTTACAGTCCCTGACACTTTCAGAGTTTTACTTTGTTAGCTCCATCAACAGTACATTGAAAATAACTTCGGATGGCCAGGCTGTTGAATTAAAACGAGGAAGAGGTCTTTCCCTCCCATTTCCCTAGGAGGAAACTGAGGCACAGAAAAATTAACTGGCTTTGTCTAAGTTAAAAAGAGGAGTAGGAATCTAACTACTGCCTGGTCCACCGTGTCGTGCATTGTCTCCAAGAGCAGGGTCTGGTGAGTTTAGTAGGTTCCGCAGCGTTCCAAGGAGAGCTTCTCATAACTAGTTGGAGGGATTGCCAGAACGAGGAGAGGGGTCGGCTCAGTAAGGAAGAGGAAGGGCCTGGGAGGGGGGCGGCATAGGGGAAGGGGGAGGTGAGGGGGGTCTCGGAGGTATGGTTAAAATAAAGAACCCCAGAAAGCGCAGCAGGACTGGAAACGGAGCAAGCCACAGAGAAGGCGCTGAGCAAAGTTTGGGCCGCGCTAACCGGAGCGCGCCGCCTCGGCGGACACCGGCCGAGGGCACCCAGGGCACAAATCCCCAGCCCGCGCGTGGACCGCGCGTTTGTCTCGCTGGGGGGCTGCAAGCCGAGCGCTCTGGATGGAGGTGCCCGGCGTCTCGGCCGGCATCCCCGCGGGGCGGGCGGGAGCCTCTCTCTCCACGCCGTCCTCCTAGGGGAGCAGCGAGCAGCCCCAAGGATGTCCCCGGCGGGCAGGCCCGGGCTCGGAACTCGGCGAACGGCCCCCCACACCCCCCTTCTCTCCCGGAGTAGGCAGCCGGGCGGCGCCGGGCACCTGGACACGAAAATGAGTTGGAAACCAGGTCTGAGCATGAGAGGCGGGTCTCCCCAAAGCGGGGGCCACCGTTCGTGTCTCCCCCAACCTCCGCGCCCTCCCCGTTCCCCCCGGCGCTACTTACTCCGATTCAGGGGGTTCCCGCCGACCTGGGCCGACGCCACCAGCTCCAGATAGAGAGTCCAGAGCCCCACGGACACCAGGGCGAGCGCCAGCAGCAGCCGGAAGCGCCTCCGCAGCAGCTTGACCGGGCGCAGGAGCAGCAGGAGAAGCGCGGCCCGGGGGCTCCCCATGGCGCGGCGCCCCGGCGGCCGCCGCCAGCGCGGGCTGCTCCGCACCCAGCCCCCGCCCCCCC